GATCTTCATTGCATTTAATTTACTCTTCATTTCAATCAACGATTCACTCATTTTTAAACAGATTTAACAAAACACTATTCAATGATTAAACATAAAATGAATTATAATTTCATCAAAATTTAAGTTTCAAACTTTAGGCATATTATCATTTCCAACGCAACTCATAAACTAAAACTGAAAACTAATTTCGAAACATTTTCTTTCAAATGCCGTTTCGGTTATACAAGTACTAGACATTTATTGCTTATATTTATAATAATAAAAACAAAACACTTTTTCCCAACCCTTTGAGCCAAACATTTTAATATTGTTTTTACAAACAATTTTACCATTACTTTAGTCCTAAACATTAAAACAGTAATAAAGTTATAAAATAACATTATTTGAAGCATAAACATAAAATTGCATTTAGTTTTCTTCAACATTATATTCTATGCATAATTATAACAACAAAATATGTTAATTTCAATAACAAAAACTAATCTGAGTAAATTTAATTGCATAAATTAATAAATAGGATCTAGTTAATTTAAAAAAAGCGTAAGTCGGCATTTTAAAAACTTATATATTTACAAATTATTTGCTAAATCATTGCAACAATACATAAATAATACCTAAATTGGTAATAACTCTACAACGAAAGTAATGTAATATATTTGCCATTATTTGTTTCCCTCTTTGCAATCAAATTAATATTTGACTATTAATATTTACAAATTGTATTGATTAGTTTGAGGGGTATTTAGGTTTTGTCGGTTAGCCCTAAGAATATAATAAATATCAATATATTCCGTTATACTCAACATTGATGCTTTATTGGAATAATATTCTACTTTATATACTAAATTTATTGTAGCTACCATATTTTATTACAATGACTACACAAAACGGACGCCAAATATAAGGCACTTATAGTCATGTGACCGACATTTGACCCAAATCTTAGCAAAACTATTTTAAATTGTTTAGAAGTTTATATGTTATTAATTATGTCAATAGTATTAATGCTTTTGTCGGTCAACGCTATAATAGTTTGAGACTTGAGTGAAAACATATGGACAACACATTGAGAGCACAACTATTACTACAAATAATACTGCATTTGAGACAACATTTCCAGAGTTTCAGGCAAACCAAACACAACTCTCTATTCATACAAAAATACGCCAAATTTCCTAAATTTTTATCATTTATTTCATTACTTTATCTTTTTTTGTTGATAAAAAAGAGTAATTTATTGATCCAAATTAAGTATAAATTCAATTCAATGAATTGTTTATGTATTTATCAAAACAAAAATTTATTCAAAAAATATAATAAAACGCTAATAAAGTGAAAACTCTATTATAAACAAATTGCAATTATCAAGTGATAAGTGAAAAAATCGGTTTATTTTATACATGAATTAAGATTGAAAAAGTTATAAAAATTATACGACTTTAAGAGTTTTAAAGTCTCATTTTTATAAAATGAGTCCAAAAATGAGTGAATCGTTGATTGAAATGAAGAGTAAATTCAATGCAATGAAGAGTTTGTGTGAAATAATAGACAAAATTCAGTGTATTTTGAATACAAATAATAGTGTTTTGTGTGAAGCGATTGAATGCGAAAATAATGATTATTTTTCAATCAATCAAACAATTGATTGCAATTCATGTAAAATCAGTGATAAAATGCTAAACAATTGTCATATCATTACTAAATCTGATGATTATTTTCACTG